GGATGGATTCTTTGTAAATTTTCAGAGCACTTCTCTTTTAAAAAGGAGTTTTTAGAGTTGTATAGGACTGGATTGGCCCAACGGTTTGGTGAATTGTTTCAGCCAAATGAAAAAAAGCAAGCCTTAACCCTAAGCTAAAAAAGCCAAAAAACTAATCGAATTAAATCCAAAATGGGAAGTTGAAAAAGTATTCCAAGTGACAAGGAAAATCGTGGCAGCACAATTACAGCACATCACATACAATGAGTGGCTAAAAGTGTTATTCAGTGATTCCGTGGTGAGTTATGGCTACGTGGTTAAGTAGAAAGAAAGCTAGTATACTTTTGTTATTCAACTACCCTGTTCGGTTTTACCTCAGTTTTACGGGTATGTGTCCGAACTTTTGAATCATCGGCCATAATTCTGAGCTCTCAATGACATTTTGCAGTTTGTATGTTAACTGTTTGATTAGACTTTGTAGTTATAGATCGTTTTCACTCGCGTGGTAGCCAGCTAAAAAAATTTTGTTGAAAAAAAAAAAAAAACACCAACAAAACAATAACGAAGGGCTAACGCTCGAAACGTCAGCTTTTAAACTATTTGCGGTGGCCAATTAACTCAGTTGATGATACTTTATTACCCTGTTGCCTCCTCATACACAATCGTATCTCAACAAAAGGTTAATGAAACGCTCCCCCAATCGGCACATGTCATAGGTTCCTTTCAAAATACTCGTGGTATTCACGCAGTCTCTAATTCATGATTGTCGAGGGCTTCGGTAATTATTGTGGGTGTTTTCCTTTGGATTGTTTTCAGCCTAAGTCGCTTATTTTAACCAAAATATTACGGAGAAGTGGAAAACAAACAAAACGTTGCATTTTTAATAAGATTTTGTATTTTTTTGCTCTTGGTTTGTGGGCTTTGTGCTCTAGCTGGAAAGGGAAGGTCTGTTGTTGGAGCCACCTGGTAAATTCTTTATGGGATATAATGCATCGATTAATGCAGGAATATTAAACCACTTTGGAACAGCAGTTTTGAGAGTGGGTCACACCTTAATTCGATCAAGCTTTGGATTAATTACCAATTCAAGGGTCAGGCGCTCCAGTAAACTCATTTATCGCGGACGTACTGCAGTGGACTTTTTCAATCCAGCCCCCTTGCTACTTGGACTCATAGTTAACCTCATTGGAGAAATCTTATATGGTCTCGTTAACGAGCTAGCCCAGCTCTCGGATAAGTATGTATCAAAGCAGTTTAAACAATAGGTTGAACTACACATGCCTTTTGATCGGTTCTTATGCATAGATGACGTCGAGTATATTCTATATTGTCGTGCTTGTGTGCTGTAGTCAGTCCCAAAATACGTCAAAATGTTGATAGAATATAAGTCACAAACTCGGCTGCGCCTCTTGTGCCAATTTTTTGTTCCTGTCATACTTTGCTATAATCTGTAATTTACTGGTGAACAGGCACTCGGAAACATAGCATCTACTCATTAAAAATACGTTTTGCGAGATTGTTTGGCTGCAAGGATGATGAAGTGTTGACAGCCTGAGTGGTGCTGGTTCGGGCCAATCAAGGTAATTTGGGATTATCAACTGAGTTGATAACGAGAATTGACCTCCGTAAGGAGTTTATATGCTGACGTTTCAAGCATTAGCCCTTCATCCATTCGCTCTGACGAAGGGCTAATGCTCGAAACGTCAGATTTTTAACTCTTTACGGTGACTAATTTACGTCATCAACTCAGTTGATAATACCAAATATCCCTGTTATAATCTCACCGACGTAGCACTACAGTTTCTTCAGAAAATTATCTCCTTTAGCCAGATTCAAGATAGTTTAGAACGAAGTTTTGTTAAACCAAGGCCAATTTAAAAAATATATTTATACTTAACAAAGAGAACGCTTGGAAGTACTTGTTATCTAGTTTTTAACTAGGTTTCTCAAAGTCTCACCAATCCAAGATTCCTACGTTCAATAAAATAGTTAACTAATTATGATGAAATTTTCTTCCTCAGGAACTTTGTTGACGTCATAAGAGAACGTGTAATAATAGAAGGACCAACTATTGATGGTATTGTTGGCGATCTTCCGGCAATAAACATTCACCGCGGTAGGGATCACGGCTTACAAACGTTCGTAAAATTCCGCGAGATTTGTGGTGCAGGCCCAAGTAATAACTTTGGTCAACTTCGTAATACCATAAATCGCCCAGAGATCATGAAACTGAGACAAGCCTATGAAAATGCAAAAGACATCGATTTATTTGTAGGCGGCATCCTCGAGTTTCCCACTCTTGGAAGCGTGCTAGGTTTTACGTTCACCTGTCTTATGACCAAGCAGTTTAGACATCTGCGACATGGTGATCGATTCTGGTATGAAAGAAATGACCCTATTGCCGCATTCACTCTTCCTCAGCTTGAAGAGATACGAAAGACGTCATTGTCCCGAGTATATTGTGACAATACAGACAACGTGATCTTCATTCAGAAAAATGCCTTTAAACTCCGAACTGGTAACAACGGAGACAATCCTGTAATCGATTGTGACTTTATTCCCAGAGTGAACTTGGAAGTTTTCGGAGAGGAGGAAGAGCCCATTGGTAGGCGTTTGTTAACTGTGATTAATATAACTCAAATACACTTTAGGTATAATTGAGTGACACTTCTTAGCACGAGTCATTAAGCAGAAGTATTTTGTATAGTATGAACTGTCATTGAGTTTTACACTGTCTCTCCCCTCCAGGGGATGTAACTTGTTAGAGACAATGAGAACTGTTATAGAAGACATAGAATCCTGGAGAAATGCTGCACATGCATCTCAGTCTTATAGTCGTTTATGCGAGAAAAACTGGATAATTTCTGACATTTATTGCTTCAACAAATTGATATTTTCGTGAGGCCCATGTTTCTTACTAATCTCTGTTAAATTGATCGAGAGCCACTGCTCTAAGAAAATGAGTTATACTATTCGTTCCATTTTTTTAGGTAATAGCTTCATGTTCATTTTATCGAATTTCATTTGTTGGACTGTCTTTTCTTGAGATACGATGCGAGCTTTGCGCTGTAAAGGCATTATCTATCAACTTTTGATTATGTATCCTGCTGACATTTTTGCATGGCTTGAGAGTATCAAACAATGATTGTTGCTTTCTCATCACTTTCCATAGATGAACTACCGGGTGTGCCTATTGTGCAAGGTATATGGCACCGCATTATTCTGTTCGCAAGATTTTGTTATAAATCACAAATTCCAAAACAAAATGTAGCTACAGACGAAGTTTTCTAAACGTCATCGCAAATGCTGACACTAAAATTTGCCTTTATAAACTAATAGCAGAGGTATGCTTATTATTACGAATATACTTGATCAGGAGAAAAAGAAAGGAATCTACAACGGATATCGATAAAGCGAACATAAACACTCACAAATAAAGTAACGCTGCACGATATAAGCGTGGATAAGTAAGCTAGCCCTTCTGCGGAAAATCAAAGGAAAAAAACGCAAATGGACACAAGTTTTGCTTGTGAAGCTTTACTTCTTCCTTCATGACAATTTTTACCTTTTCCACTACTTCTTGCGAAGGGTTTTCATGGAAACATAGTTTGTCTTTTCAAACATTTTTTTTTTTTTTTTTCTGGGAAGGTTACCAGTCAGCCGTCTCCCTACATACAATATAGGGCGTGCACAACTGGCAGTCAAAAAGTATGGTGATTCTCAAACCTGAATAATTATTCCTCCATGTGGGACTATTATAATGCAGTGGAAGTTCTTTCTCTATATATATTTCCATCATCGTCATCATCATGGTAAACAACTTCGTCATCACTGTTATTGTTATTGTTATTAATTTCCATTTCTTGTTATCTTATTTTCTCAAGATTGTCCTCAGGACTTTGTTCCATTTAGAGGTGGTTGTATCAGATTCTTCCTTACCCCTACCATAACATTCGAGGCTGCAAGATCATTTTGTATGAGCTTTAAGACTAAAGACAATAAACTGGGAGATCTTATCGAGATTCGATCACTTGAAGAGAATGCTGAAGTTGTTTATCTTGCCCCTGATAATGGTACGTACTATAAAAACACGGTATGACAAACTTCAATGATGATCAAGTTATCTTCTGAAAGGTCAATTCAAAACACACTCCAGTTATTGATGCAGTCAAATCTTCAAGACCCACAGAAAAATAGAAGGAAAAGGACGAGAAAATATTAGCGTTACTCATTATTTATTTATTTATGGTTTTTTTTAAATTTTGAAGTTTAAGGATGGTAACAGAAGTCTATTTTCCCGTAGGTTCTCTTTGTGATTGCTCGTTGCAATTAACATCATTCCCCTTGTTTGAACATGTTTCCAAAAACAGATAAATGAAAAAGAAGGATAAATAGAAAAAAATTGAGGTAATTATTTCCAAAATAGCTTCAATGAGGACTCAAGGAAGACAAGCTCCCGACTAACAGACTATTTATACTCGTACATTCGCTCTGCGTAGAACTAAATTTTATTATGAAATACCTTTAATGCAGTAGGTATATCTCGCGGCTCAGAGCAGGGGCCTTCCTCAAAACACTAATGAGGTGGTATGAGTCAAAATCGAACACGAGATATCTTTTCATCAATTCATCTTTTCTCTTCTCTAAGGGCAAAGATATTACATTGGTGTGACGGACTTAGAAGAGGAGGGTGTTTTTCGCCTGAATGGAGACACAAATCCAGCGCCATTTCTTAACTTTCCACCTGGCTTTCCTCAAGATTTGATAACTGAAGAACAAAGAGACTGTGTTGTCTTAGCAACGCATCCGGATACCACTTTTTCACTATGGTACACAGTGCCTTGCACAAACAGTTGGGCTTTTATATGTGAGTGTGAAGGTCCGTGCTTTCAGTCCACCGTGGCTGTTTAAATGAAAAACTATAGACTTTCGAATAAGTCACACCGTAGACGAGAATCAAGCTGTAATTTAATTAGACTGATATATGATCTTGAAGTTTTCAATCACGCCGTGACATTATACCAAGGATCCACAATACCACCGGCATAAGTAACATTGCGCGACTCCCTCAATCGTGCAATGTTACTTATGCCGGTGGTATTGTGGTATGATGTCACGGCGTGATTGAAAACTGATTAAAATCATGAATAAAAGCGTTTATTACACTTTTTTGTAAAGTAATATCAATTAATCATTTGAAGATATAGCAAATAATAATATGGTTACTATACATATACTCAGAATTACGTTCCCATGCTCGTATCACACTTTATCATAGGTTGAGATTTAGCTAGACGCATAACAAAAGAAACAAATTGCGTGTCCGCGCGGTCTCTTTTTGGTTTGTAAAAAATTATTGTGACCACGTCCGAATTCGAGGATTATCTGGTGTGTAAAAACAGAGAAATGTATGATCTGTGCATGTTTTTGAAAAAACCTCTTTCGACCTAACTCTTCTGGGGTTACTAAAGGAAACGAGTCTTGCCTTCAGTCTGGTGGTAACTTTAAAGGATAAGAAACGCACGGGGAAGGACTTGCTCATAATACTCGCTTCGTTTCGCTTCGTCTTGAGCGCCCCCAGTTGTTTTTTAACAAAGAAATGATTGGAGCAATATGGTTGATCTCAATAATTTCAGGCGGACCGAAGTCGATCTCGGGAGGTTGCCTCTATGTCCTCGGAAGGTTTTCTTTCTCAGTTATTGGCGCTTGAAGACAAAAAGTAGTGCAAAAAAGGAAAAAAAAATGAAATCGTGAGCTTTTTCGAGCTCTACATATTTTATATCTTGTAATGAATGCTCTCAGAAAGCAATTCTGGCCTTGGTCTCCTTTCTTTGGCAGCTTAAATGTGGGGCGTGGAAGAAACACACTTACAATTAAGAACAGTTTTAGAACTAAACAAATTTTTTTGCATTAGGATAACACTATTGGCTAGAGCACGGTGGCCCTCTTTTCAAGCTGATCATCATGATTTTGATAAGTCATTCTATAATAATGATTATAACAACAATATAATAAACAAAAAACAAAAACTATCAATAAACAAAACAAAGTGTTTTCGGCGCCAAACCTTACTATATCCACAAGGGTTACGGGGTAAAAAATTCGATAAAAAAGAGCCGCCAAACCGAAAAAAAAAACAAACAAAAAAACGCGCTGGTCAAGGTTGGGCTCACCAGGGCTCAATCAGTGTCTCCCTACGGATTTTCAATTCTAGCAAACACCGTTGAGTAACAAATGATGGAGGGATCGTTGCAACTATAGCTAAGTCAGTTAATTCTTGTCTGAGAATCTTGCGTCTGTTCTCAGGTAAGGAGGTTCGACATAGAAATATTGGCAAAGGATCACCAGATCTTCTTCGTCCCTCACGTGCTGACTCTCTTTGCGTGGGAGAACATTGAAAAATTTGTCAAACGGCAATGACAACCATCTACTATCAATCGCACTCCAACGTTTCTGACACTATCGCACGCAGAACTCTAAACTACTGAATGTTGTAAATCGCGCTTTCTATGGCAGCAGGACATTTGATGGCGGTTTTACATGAAGAAGCCCGATAAGCATTAGGTTGGATTAAGTACGTATCGTCTCACATGAATGTTTCTGCTTTGGATTTTTCTCGATTTGACTGTCTTGTCTTGAACGAATTGCCGCCTTCGATTGAAGTGTACTTTGAGGTGGATTGGGTTCTGTTTGAGCCGGATCGCATTCTTGGATCCCTTCCGCGTACAGTAGCACTGAGGGCGATACGGAATTTCTCGTTTAACATCATGTACAGCCATGGGTTTACCGCACTGTTTGCGTGACCCAACCAGAAGCAAAGGATCATTACGTAATACGGAAGTTTCGACAAGACGTCAGGACGATATGCAATAAGTAAATGAAAAAAGTGAGCCGGGAACCAACAAAGAGCGAAAACAGCAGTGATTATGACGAGCATGCGCACAACTCTTCGCTTCGTAATCTCGTTACGTTTCTCAATTTCGGACGAAGCTTCACCCGGCATGCTTCGGTGCCAAAGCGTGAGACAGATCCGAGAATAAAGGGTAATTATTATGATAAGTGGAATCAGGTACATAATTAGAACGAGGTAAGTGTAGAAACCCTTCGTCCCAAATTTGCCAAGCTCTTCATATTTTGGACCGCAAACCAAACCCTCAGTTTGAGGCCAATGAACAAGCCTCCAAATAATAGCAGCTGGAATGGAGAAAATCATTGCACTCAACCAAATAAACACAGTTAGGACTCTAGCCTTTCGAAACGTCTCAAAACGGTGAAGAGGACGGGCAACTGCAAAGTAACGATCCACTGACATAATCAACAGACTTAAAATGGATGCGCCGAGTGTGACATGAAACGTGAAAAACGTAAGCGAACACGTGACATTTCCAAACATTCCCGTTGCCCATACCCCACCACCGTGCAGGATATACAGGGAGACAGGCATAGCAATCAGAGCCACCAGAAGGTCAGCGACGGCCATGTTGACAAACAGGAAACCAGTCAGCGATCTTGTTTCTGGTCTTCTTTTGATGATGAAGATCAGAAGAAGATTTCCGACCACTGCCACAAATATGGTCATCGAATACAGTACTGTGAAGATCGTCTTATGTAGAGAGCTGGGGCCAGGTGACTGCCCTGTGTAAAGCAAACAGAGGGGTATGTTCTGTATTGTTTTGTTTTGGTTTTTCTTGTTATTGCATGTTTGCAATATCTGCCTTTTTTTTCCCTTTTTCATGTTTCGTTATCATCAAAAGAACTGTGCGGCCACGCTAGCGAAAAGAGCGAAAGCTGACGTCGATGAGGCCCGACGAGTTGACGAGAGCCGGTCTGGAAAAGTCGTCAGGCGTTTCCTTGCGCTACAGGTCCGTATGTCCAGACCTCGAATCAAATATTTTCCCGTCCGGCCCTCCCACCCGTCGAGTGAAAAAGAAGTAACTGAAATTATTAGCATGTACTTTTTTTTCGTCCATGCCCCGTGTGTTAACAATCACATCATTAACAACAATTTTCTTTTTGTCTGGACGGTTTAGCCTCTCAACCAGCCGCAACGAAAAAAAAAATTACTTGTTTTCTCCCGGCTCATATGGTAATCAATTTTTTGTATGGAAAAGCCTGTATCTTATGATCTTGAGTCAGATATTTTCCAGTTCGGCCCTCCCAATCCGTCGAATAAAAAAGTAATTTACATGTATTTTCTTTTGTGTCCGTGCCCTGTGTTAAAAATCATATCATTAACCTTTAGTTACACTCGAACAACATTTTTTTTTTCTGGACGGCTTAGTCTCTCAACCAGCCGCAACATGAAGAAATCGTTTATTTTCTCCTGATTCATATGGTAATCTGTGTTTTGTATCTGGTGATTATTTTTTTAGATTCCGACATAAAAGCACGAAAATTCGAACCTAATAGGATTTTAAAGGAGTCTAGACAACAACCTCACGAAAAATAAGATAGCCTGTGATTATTGGGAGTACTTTCTAATCAGTCCATTAGAAATGATTCTTTTAGCCTGTTATGCCTTCATTAATCGGTTTTAATCATATCTATTTCGGCTTTCTTTCAGTTGCCTTGTAAGAGGTGCCTATACAGTAAGAGAGGCCATTGACGCACACGAGCATGGCATTAGTGGTCATTCAGTAATGATAATGACGAAAGCTCTTTTGGTAATCAGCGAATTATTGACTCGCTATCAAATGGCATTTATTGAATTTAAAACTCGTGAAAAAATGCTAAGGCTAAGGAAGCATGACTGCATGTTGAAGCCCCCTAACCTCAGAAGAAAAAGGTCACACGCATACAAGATAAAAAGTGCCGGGAGAAAGTCAATAAAATGAACTCGTCAAAATTTGACGGATTCAAATTAAGAGTTTTTGATAAACTGATTATCGCATGACGCCATTTGATGGACAAGCACATGATGGCGTTGAGTGTGATTTACTTTGGCTTAGATCCCATGATACTACAAAGTTATTTCCTCCGACAGGTTTTCAAGGTGCAAGTTAATTTGCTATCTAACTAACTTCGCGATGAACAGATTAAACAGGCGACAAAAGAGATGCTACACGTTCTCTGAATTTTAACGCCTCGACTGTAAAGAAAAACAGTGCTGCAATATCTTTACAAGGACGTGCCTTTCCTTTCAAAATACACCGAGACTACCGCAGCTAAATGGTAGCATCCTGCTATTGCATACCGTGGCGACGTCAGTATGCAACGAGCTTCCTTCTCACGTCTTCCCAGTTTTACGTTGATAAATAGCACCATAATTAGTTCAATGTAAACGGCTCGTTTCGCTTTCTTCCCATTCGAAGCATTTCATGGAATGACAATCGTAAAATTACACGTTGTTCAGTTGAACATAAATCTCTAGTGACCCTCTCCTTTCAAGCACATATCATACAATAAATTGTTTATTTGGCGAAAAATATGTTTCATAATCTCGTCAAACGAGTTGAAGACAGACAAAATGCAACTCAAACGACCATTGGCCACAACGGCAAGACGTGAATATGAAAGCGATCTTCGCAGTTATGAACACTACTGAAGCAGTAGCGAAAAGAAGGCCTGAAAATAATTCAGGCCCGTACGGGATGAACCCATGACCTTTGCGATACCGATGCAGTGCTCTACCAACTGAGCTAACAAGCCAACTGGGAGTTGGTCGCTGTGTTGGTTCCAAATAAACCCGTGAAGTGGTGAATAAACGGCTGTAAATATATGGAATTCGTATCCCGTACAGGCCTGAATTTTTTTTCAAGCCTTCTTTTCGTTGCTGCTTAAGTAGTGTTCATAAATGCGAAGATCGCTTTCATATTCACGTCTTTATACGCAGTTCAAATATATGAATTTCATATATTCACAGCCGTTTACAACGACAAGAGTTGAATTAAATGGAAGGAGTTGCCATATCAGCCTTGTAAACACAGTAAAAATGAGTAGACGATAGTTGAATAAGGAAAAAAAATGTTTACGTGACAGCCTAATTATTCTATGCTTTCTTTCAAAGCCCTTTATCAATCAC